ATCAAACATCCAATGGATTTAGTGTAAAGGATCATTCATTTTTGTGGGAATCAATTTTCATGGATTAGGAAATGAGATATGCCAATGCTAATACATCTACATACCAAATATCATTGACCAATCACTAGTAGTTCCCCATAAACAGACCTAATCCACGGGTAGTAACCTCGTCATATCGAGAAGCGTTTAGTACAGTGATTTTGTCATAGTTTGGTTAAGATGAACATGGTTGTGTTAAGTGTTTTTGATGACAAACAGTGTCAAAATATAAACATTCGAATAGTTTGTTAAAGGAACTAATGACAACAAATTCAAGCTGATAAGTATCTTTGTTTATAGCTAATATGTTAGTACATCAAAATTTGTATCATATAGTTATTAATTTGACACAGAATAATGCTTGCGTATGTCAAAATTTAAAAGTTGTGATTCGTTTCTAATGCATAAAGAAAAGTGGTTTGCTTACTGTCTGCTACATCACATATTTTGTTATGATATAAATCTGCCGTCAATTTTCCCGAAAAACAGCCCCTAGTGCACACAATTTGAGATTACAGAATATTCGGTGTCATGGTTTGGTTCATTCGTGTCATGGTTTATTTCATGTTGAACATGGTTCAGTTATGTGATTCTATTCGTGAATGAAGAGTAACGATCAAAATAAACAGACATTATATATATTGAAATACTCTTTTTTAAATCGTTTTATTTGGAATACAAAAATACATATATACGCACATTCAATGTAGTATTATATATATTAAGTACATGCGGTCTGATTGCCAATGAGATAACTATCCACCCGAGACCAAAATGACGTAGATGTAAGCAACTATATGTCGTCGTACGGCCTTCAACAATGAACAAAATCCATACCTTTTAGCAAGCTATAAAAGGCTCCGACAAAATTATAAAAAAAAAAATAATTTAGAAAACCAATGTATTATACAATATTACAAAAACATAATCATTTTTATTCGTTCTTATAATAATTGATAAAAGTGGACATTAAATCGGCTTCATTCTAATTCGGAATTGTGATTTTTCATATATTTAAATTCTGAACTTGTGTGTATTTTTATTTTTTTATTTTAATTTTACTAATAGTTTATAAAACAAATAAGTTTTAACTGTTGTCCATGTCACGCGTTAACTATTTGTTTCGTGGATGGTTGAGTCTTGATATCGTTTGGTTAGTTTTGTAGTTGGGATACTATAGCATGAGCGTATAACCTCACATCTCCTTTTATTCATCATAGACTGGATCAAAATAAAACAACAGATATATAGTTTATTAGAAAAAAAGTAGAACAAGAATTACTTTTTGACTAGCTGATACGTTTTGCAACTTTAAGTAGACGTTTTTACACATTTTACAAGTGATGCCGCTCACGATATCATCGACAGAGTCAATCATGGACATACGGAGAAAATAATCTATGTGAAACAGAAACAGCATTTTCTGTTTTTGTTATTATTATCTCAAAAGATAGTTTAAAAGAGCAGTGAGTATTTAAATTATAAAAGCAAAATAACAAAAATACGGCCGGGACTTCGAAGAAAATTCTAAACGGAAAGTCACTACTCAAATGGCAAAATCAAAAACTGAAACACATCAAACGAATGGATATCAACCGTCATATTCCTGACTTGGTACAGACATTTTTTTCTGTAGAAAATTGTGGATTGTACCTGGTTTTATAGCCAGCTTAACCTCTCACATGTATAACAGTCGCATAAAATTCCATTATATTGACGACGATGTGTGAACAAAACAAATAGACATAATAGGTAAAAATGTCTAAAAATAAGGGTACAGCAGGCAACATTGTGTTATAATCTTAGTCACTATAAAAACAAAACAAATATTTCAACAAAGAAAAACAAAAATGCATAGAGACAAAGCACATACATGTAAGCAAAAACGAAAGACAAGAATACAAAACTTTACCATAGCACAATAACACAATGACGGGATGTATAAGTACCGAGCCACGTCAAATGGATTGGGCCAAAAAATAGACTAAACAGTTAAAGTAATAATTTACAAATACAAATAAAAGAGTACCATAACACGTCATTAAGGTGACAAACAACGTCAGTACTTAGAATCTATACTTAAAGACCATCGTTTATTATTTGTGAAGTTGAAAAGGAATATTTACCCACAAGGTCTTCCGATGAACTTTTTTGGAAAAAGGACGAGACGTTCTTTGACATACCACTGGTTCATCAACTTTCTGCTCAGACACTGGTGACGGTTTACAAAGTCTGAGTAGCATCTGCAAGCTCTTGAATATCGAATGAGTTGGGAAATGTATATCCTATATGCAGGAGAAGTTGGTATATTGATACTAAGGTTGGAGAAACTAATAGTTTTTAAAATTAAAATCGTCTCGTTTGTCATAGATTCTGGTACTAAGATGACCGCTCATGTCAAATTCGAGATATAAGTCTAAAATGAGGCAGAGGAAGCCGTGTCTGTTGTTCCTTTAATTTCTAGTTCTGGGGGATATATTAATGGAATTCAATCAGAAATGTCTGGATTGTTAATGGAAATTGAACAATATATATGAATGTGAAATTAAATGATCTGGCTTCTTTGATCTTCTTGTTTTTTACAAATGTCTGAAGGAACTCCGACTAATATGAAGATAAGAAAAGGTCGATTCCGCACAATTCGCTCCCATAGAAATACCGACAGTTTGGTGACAAAACCTACCTCCAAATTCAACAAATATTTTGTCAATAAGAAACTCCAGCACACTGGTCACTTGTTCCTCTGTGTAGCATGTTTTATTTTTTTGTTCACTATATTAACAAAGTATGCCGTATGGTATCCAAAAGTAATAAACGTATAGCGTGCGCTACCATTTTTATGTTGAAAAGCATTGTAGATTTGAATTATTTCTTTTAGACGATTTTTTAATTACACATAGGGAATGGTGGTACACAGGGTTGAAAAATTAAACGTTTTGATAGAACTAATTTCAGAGAAAGATCGAGATTTACATTTATTCAGAAGTTCTTTCAGAGTTTTAAAATCCATATATGGTTAATACCACTACCCGAGTAAACAGTTTCACGGTATTTCTGAAAACCCTCTTTCATTGCGGAAAGAATCTTTGTCAATCTAATGGACAATTCTTTCGTCGAACATGCAGATGAGCTGGCAATGTACGGCTGTTTGTATGGAATTTTGTGAAGCTTAGGTATCCAATACAAACAAGGTAAGTCCTCCGATTTGCTGCTCAAAGTAATGTTCATTGAAGCTATTAAAGACTTATGAATCATCAAAATCCCTTTCTTGTCAAGTGATGTTTTTGTATGTGGGATTACATGAGTGCTCATTTATTCCTAATTCTTTTACAAGACACTCGTAGGAGTACGATTTGCCTACAAAGACAAGTCACGAACAGTTAAATTGTTTAATGTACGCTTTGCCAATTACAGCATCTAATTTTGGTTTAAAAGGCTTTTTTTCTTCTTAGTCAGTTGGTAAATTGTGTAACTTCGTTTAATTACAAGCGTTTTTAAACAAACTATCAATATTGAGCTGAAACACATATATATTAATTTGGATCTAAACCATGACAAACTTGATCAAAACCATGACGAATTTCTAGACACTTAACCGAACCATGTCATAACTTAACCAAACCATAGCAATTTCGATAGTTTGCTTATTCTGCGTTAGTTTCTTGAAAACAACAATTCCAATGTAGATCGTTTGACTAACAATGCAAATTAAAACATCTTATTTACTTTTTATTTGCTCGTTTGAATAGAACTGAGGCAATCGTTCGGGGAAGTAACTTAACACAACCATGTTCATCTTAACCAAACTATGACAAAATCACTGTACTAAACGCTTCTCGATATGACGAGGTTACTACCCGTGTAATCACAAACTATAAATACATTGTTGATGTCGCCTCTGCTGGAAACAGCATACCTATCTCTCGCTTCTTTACTCTTTTAAGGCGAGACAAAAATAACTCCACAGTAAATTACCATTTGACTTTTAACTGTCACATATCATAATCATCATCCTTTGTACAATCACTTAGATTTCTTTGGAGCCTAAATATTGGTAATTATTCCCACCAAGTTTGCACAAAGCCTGATTTAGACTGAATTACATATGCATATTCATGGCTCTACAATTTGTCGAAACCTGTATCTTGGCATTGCACAAGGTCATGTTTTTCTCTGACTGTTTATGATGTCTTTACACTAAATCCATTGGATGTTGGATGTGTATGGATTGATAATTTAGTCTTAGATGCATGATTTTTTTATTAGTTGTTAGTGGCTTTGAACTAGCTGTCAGTAACTGCGAGTACTCTCAGATCTGAACTTAGTGTCTTTTTGTTGTTTGGATGTACCCGGCCATGTCCACTTGTGTTTGTAGTATTTGTATTTTTATCCATCTGATGAGTTAAGCCTCTTTCAACTGATTTTTATAGTTCGTTCTTATGTTGTACTGTTACATCACTGTCCCAGGTTAGGGGGAGGGTTGGGATCCCGCTAACATGTTTAACCCCGCCACATTCTGTATGTATGTGCCTGTCCCAAGTCATGAGCCTGCAATTCAGTGGTTGTCGTTTGTTTATGTGTTACATATTTGTTTTTCGTTCAATTTTTGTACATAAATCAGGCCGTTAGTTTTCTCGTTTGAATTGTTTTACATTGTCATTTCGGGGCCTTTTAAAGCTGACTGTGCGGTATGGGCTTTGCTCATTGTTGAAGGCCTTACAGTGACCTATAGTTGTTAATTTCTGTGTCATTTGGTCTCTTGTGGAGAGTTGTCTCATTGGCAATCATACTACATCTTCTTTTTTATATTGGCTATTTCTAATGTGCGTTCAGATAGTCTCAATATAAAAACATTGTAAAGCTTCAAAGTGATCCTTTTGAATTGTAAAGAGTCAAAACTTCTTCCTTTCACAGGTGTTAAGAGTGTTTGTGAAGTCACTTGGAACAATAAAAGACTTGAATACAAAGTAAATATTTAATTGATTCTTAGATAATATTACAAATACAAACATAATACGACAATAAAATGTTTGTTAAAAGACATGTTGCCATTAATATTTAGGGCTATTCTATTAAAATGAATGTGAGAGGGTAGGAATAGAAAATGAAAGGATATGGAGTAAATGTACATGGGACAAAATCGCACACAATGCATAGAAAACATAGAAAATTATCAATGAACTAGGAAGGCAATTTTAAGTTTTGATATGGTTCCTAGGTTACTGATGAGGGTCTGAATGGGGGTCCTAATCATTTATGTATTCTTCAAATTTTTATGCTGTTTTTCAATTTTTATTTTTGAGTACCCAGTTATTCTCTATTCTTTAAATTTTAGCACCCAATTATTCTCTATTCTTTAAATTTTAGCATCAAATTATTCTCCATTCTTTAAAGGATAAAGTTCACTTTAGGCTAAATATGGCCTTTACATTTCAACTTTTTCATAAAATTTCAAAATGGCCATAATTTGGTTCTTAAATGGATCTATTTCAACAGCTCCAATACAAGGTTGAACAAATCTCTTCATACGAATATATTCTAAGCTTCAAAATCACTATATTTTGGATATATTTTCTTTGTGCAGTTTCGGACATAAAAGCTTGAGAAAATCCTTGGCTGCAACCTAGGATCCAAAATGTTCTGTAATCAAAAGTTGTCAATAGAGATATTGAATTCCTAGAAAACTATTTTTTCTGGATTGGGGGTGAGGTCAGAGTATATTATGCTAAAAACAGTTAAGAATTATTTAAAACTTGAACAATGATGCATATTTTAGGAGTCATTACTTCGTCATTTTTAATGTGATATGCCAAAAAGAAGTTATTTGGTGTTAATAGTAATATCACAACTATTTCTATGTGAAATGTGAAGTATTGTTGCCTGATTAAAAAAAACATGAAAATCTTAGGGCCAATTTTAACCCTAGTGAACTTACTCCTTTTAGCACCTAATTATTCTCTATTCTTTTATTTTTTTTAGGTCTATTTTTATCTATTTTTATCTATTTTTATCTATACTTTATTTTTTTGGTCCTCTATTCTGTATCTTTTCCCCATTATTATCTATTCTGTATCTTTTCCCCATCATTATCTATTCTTTCCCCATTATTATCTATTCTGTATCTTTTCCCCATCATTATCTATTCTTTACCCATTATTATATATTCTGTATCTTTTTCCCTTTATTATCTATTTTTTCCCCATTATTATCTATTCTTTACCCATTATTATCTATTCTGTAAACCCCCATGCAGATCCTCACTTATGGTTGAATGTCCATTTTATGTAAATTACTCAAATGTTGCATTGGAGGGATTTTCAAGACCCTTCCTCCCCTAACACATCCCTTTTTATAGAATAGCCCTTGGTAAAAACAGGTAACTTGAAGAAATAAAAAATACATAATTTAAAATGTTTTACATGGATAAAATATGTTGAAAAAATAAACATGATAAAATATGATGTAAAAATAAACATGATAAAATATATTGCCAGTCTTAAGTTCATAATAAAATCTTAATTCATATCACAGCATAGAAAAGACAATTAAAGTACAATATTGCTATTGAATTGTATATATTGTAAAAATTGGTAAAAAATTTTAAGCCAAAAAGACACTTAAGATTTTGTGAAAGCTGTAGCAATATAAAGGTAATTGTAACAGCTTTAGACCAATAAATCAATTTGTCATAGTAAAAAAAAAAGATTTTACAATCTGGGAATATAAGAACGGCTCAAGTAGTTTAGGCTCCTACCATATTGATAAAAAAAACTTGCATGTATTGTTGTGCTAAGCATACCCCTAATCACAAAGTACAGACAAAAAGGAAATAGGCATCTGACAGATCTGAAAAGTGCTCACATGTTACAACTCTTGTCGCATTATAAAACTTCACATGACTGTTTTTTTTTCACCAATTGCGCTGTAATTCACTTCAATGTCAATATTTGATTTGTAAACATGAAATTAACTAATTCAGGTAGTATACAATGCACAGTTTTTTTCTCTCTAAAATTAAAAAAATGACAGGTAGGGGCATAACTACATCAATGCAGATTATACACAACATTTTACAGTACACTTTAATCTGTTTACTGTTGATTCATTTATTTTTGTGGATTGAGAAAAAAAATAGTTTTTTCATGGATATTTAAGGTGGTACATAACACTACAGGGAGATAACTCTGTAAAAATCAGCTGAACGTTTTAATCACATTCTATTGTTCAAGAAATATTAAGCTTCTCAATGATAAAATTAGTGTTTGTCAAACTGCTATATATTCAATGAAATTTTTCCGATAAAGTGTGTGTTCAAGTTTTGTTTTAAGTTTTTATATATTTGTCAAATGGTCAAAGTAAATATTTTGTCAAAATTTATGAAAATTAAACGAGCCAAATTAATTTTAGTCAAGGTGTTTGGTACCACCTTAATTCCAAAGTCGCAAATCAAGCCTATAAAATATTTGTACTTGATTTAATATTTTTAAAAATTTGTAATTTACTTTTACCCACAGATCCATGAAATTTGGTTTCCAAAATTTAAAAATGAACCCACAGTATCAAATCAATTCAAAATTGTAAACATGTTTTGATAGAATGTATAGATTTTACATATGTGTTTCAATTCTAATAAAATGTTTGACCTATTTTTTCCACTCCAACGGCAGCTTTTACTGGACAGATGCAGACTATGGTGGCAATTTATTCAGAAGAATGTTGGATAAGTTGTTCATTGCTATCAATTTATCTATAACTTCTAAGTAAGATTTATGTTCCTACAAAAGAAAAAAGAATATTTTTACCAACATATTAACAATATATATTTTTTTTAAATCAGATATAAACTGTAGCCTATATTACTGGTTTATCACTAATCTAGCTTTAATGTATAACTTTGTTACATTTACTTTAAAGCAATATATTTGAAATTCTAAAGACAGTTTTCTAATAAAGAACAAAGCTCCCCTTGCCTTTTTAAGCCCACTTACAATATTAGGGGACATACTGTTTTCTGGTCTATGTGTTTGTTTATTCTGTATGAGGTTAAAATCTATTTTGGTTAAGGGTATATTACCATGAAATTGTGGTCATATTTACTCGAAACTTGGTACAAATGCTCATAATGATGTGAAATGCAAATGTGTGTTTTGCAAGCATGAAAATCAATCAATTTGATTTTGCATACATTTAAAAACATTCACATCATAGTGTGCATTACTAAGTACATTATGGTGTAAAATTTTTCAAATACAGTAGAAAGATTAGTTTCCATAGGGTTATAAATTAAATTGTCTTGTATCTAAATTTGATTTCATGTTGACAAATTTTCTACAAGTAATATTCTAAATGCTTAAAATTAAGTTGTGATTTTAATTTCATCGATAATGTCTATCCATCATGAATAATCTGAATTAAAAAAAATCTAATTCACTGTCCTGTGCTCCTGATACTAAAGTTCTCATAGACAGGTTTCCTCTTTTTGCGGGGATTGTTTAATCAGTTCATGTGAGTTTCACGTGAATCTCATGTGAAAGTCACATGAATTTCACATTAATTTTTTTTCACGAGAAATTCATGTGAATCCTTAAAATAACGTAATTCAAATAACATCTAAATTTTCAAATTTAATCAAAACCATGAAAAATACAATTTTTTGGGGGGTAAAGTTCACGTGAAATTCATGTGAATAATTTCATGTGAGATTCAGGTGAATCTCAATTCACGTGAAATTCACATGAAAATTTTCACGTGAGTTTCATGTATAAGCTCATTTGAGGTGAATTTCAAGTGAAAATTTTCATGTGAAATTAACGTGAGCAAATTTTGCCTGTGTAATGATAAAATACATGTGTAAACATGTATATCCATATCTTTTTTCACATAATCATATTAATCAATAAAATATCACCTTTTCAGGATGAACGAAAGATCCTTTTAAGAAGTTAACAGACTGTTTATCATTACTGATGTTCAAACCACATTGTTCACACTCTCTGATCACATGATCAGAATCTCTAAACATAAACAACTTTAAGAGGTTCTCCACAGGATACTTGGATGCTTTTGAGCTAAAGGCTGTATTCATGGTCTGTAATGATTGTCTCTAAAATAAAAAGAAAAGATCATTTATTAATTACAAGATAAAAAAGAAAAATAACTAGTTCTATTCATGTTTTGAATACTTCTGACGCTGTTTTATTCAAACATACATTGTGTCCATAGAGGACATTTTGAAAAAACTATAGAGACAATTTAAGAATTTCATTTCCATTCTCACATGTATACTTAAGTTACTAGTAGCAGAAGCTATTATTCAGGGTAAGTAGTCCCTGTGTCAAATTCCTATCTCAGTCAAATCAAAGACTTTAAAAGTGACATTTTGAGGTTTAACAGCTAAAGTAATAACAAGACTGTTTGTGTTCATTTCAGAATAATATGAGGCAGGCGTAACCTGTGAAAGGAGACGAAGTCCGAATCAATTACTTTTTTTTAATTCTAACATATTCTAATGTTAAAAAAAAAACGGAAATACCGTTACGTTATCGATGTTGGTTCTGTTGTTAGGGATTTTAGATGGGACGTCATTTTATTCATTACGTCGTTTTCAATGTAAACAAAGAGACGCTATTATCAGGTAACGTTTTTTTTTTCCATATCAGAGAATAATTAAAATGAAATTGTTATTGTGCTCATTCCTATATATTTGACTGAAAAAAATTTTATACCCAAAGTCTCACGACAAATGAGACCGGAAGAAAGAAAAGGATTTCTGCACAAATGCGGGAAAATAAAAAAGTTAACTATTTTGAGTTCATTAGTACATTGGAAATTTTTTTTTTTCTATTGATTTTTCTATGGTTATAGGGGACTTCGTCCCTTTATAAATGTTATGAAAAGATGACATGCTAACTGCCTAATGTGGTAGCACATAAAAAAATCCAAGGCAGTTATTAAGTCTACTATAAAGCAGTACACATGCACATCTAAATTTTTATTCCAAATATGCATGTAATATTTGCTGCTAAACCCAGAGTGTACACACACTTTTTACAGTTCAAAAGATTTAAGATTTTTTTGTGTTGAGCTGTCTTTATTTTAAATTCTAGAAAGATAAAAGTTAAAAAGTTTTTGCTTCAAAACTGATTTTTTACTTGACATTTATGTTAAATATTAGAAACAACTTTAGCATTACTTTCTTCATAAGTGTGAAAGCTAAATATCTTGTGCTTTATTAGAAGCACCACAGTACCTACTTCAAAAGTTTCAACTTATATCTGTTAATAATCCTTATGCTTTAAGGGGTGTTACTCAAGGTAATTTGATAGTTCCTAAGCCAAAAACTGAACTGTTTAAAAAATCTTTTGCTTATTCTGGATCAGTTTTATGGAACAGACTACCATATGAAATGCGTAAAGTGCAAAACACTTTTTGTTTTAATCAAATTATAAAACGAAACTTGAGGCAGTCCCAATATTCAGTCTTGAAATGATTGCAACTATTACTTATTTAGAATGTATGATTTTGATTTGTATATAATATCTATTTACTACATGCACTCTGTAACTGTTTTATATGTTCTAATGGTACATGTACACCAAACTATCATGACTATACGATTGTGAACTGACTATGTGTTAATATGTTGAATGTTTGCTTTTTTTCTCTTATTTTTATTTTTTTACTTGTATTGTATATGAGGGCCTCAGGGAAGATTAGTAATTGTAACTAACTGTGTTTACCCTCTTTAAATAAAGAATTTATTATTATTATTATTATCATTATTATTATCATTATTATTTTGTGACAATTTATCATTAAGTAGTCAGATCAATCAATTAGGACTGTCATTGATAAATGTTACATGAATCTTTATAAATAATGTTCATGCAGGACTTTAAATTTACTTTGAGAAGTTATTCATTCATTTAGTGTTCATAACCAAATGTTTCTACAGACACTCCATTACTCCTTTTAACATTTTTCTTTCTGAAGCAGTACACATGCACATCTAAATTTTTATTCCAAATATGCATGTAATATTTGCTGCTAAACCCAGAGTGTACACACACTTTTTACAGTTCAAAAGATTTAAGATTTTTTTGTGTTGAGCTGTCTTTATTTTAAATTCTAGAAAGATAAAAGTTAAAAAGTTTTTGCTTCAAAACTGATTTTTTACTTGACATTTATGTTAAATATTAGAAACAACTTTAGCATTACTTTCTTCATAAGTGTGAAAGCTAAATATCTTGTGCTTTATTAGAAGCACCACAGTACCTACTTCAAAAGTTTCAACTTATATCTGTTAATAATCCTTATGCTTTAAGGGGTGTTACTCAAGGTAATTTGATAGTTCCTAAGCCAAAAACTGAACTGTTTAAAAAATCTTTTGCTTATTCTGGATCAGTTTTATGGAACAGACTACCATATGAAATGCGTAAAGTGCAAAACACTTTTTGTTTTAATCAAATTATAAAACGAAACTTGAGGCAGTCCCAATATTCAGTCTTGAAATGATTGCAACTATTACTTATTTAGAATGTATGATTTTGATTTGTATATAATATCTATTTACTACATGCACTCTGTAACTGTTTTATATGTTCTAATGGTACATGTACACCAAACTATCATGACTATACGATTGTGAACTGACTATGTGTTAATATGTTGAATGTTTGCTTTTTTTCTCTTATTTTTATTTTTTTACTTGTATTGTATATGAGGGCCTCAGGGAAGATTAGTAATTGTAACTAACTGTGTTTACCCTCTTTAAATAAAGAATTTATTATTATTATTATTATCATTATTATTATCATTATTATTTTGTGACAATTTATCATTAAGTAGTCAGATCAATCAATTAGGACTGTCATTGATAAATGTTACATGAATCTTTATAAATAATGTTCATGCAGGACTTTAAATTTACTTTGAGAAGTTATTCATTCATTTAGTGTTCATAACCAAATGTTTCTACAGACACTCCATTACTCCTTTTAACATTTTTCTTTCTGAAATATTCTTTATCAAATAAATCCAATGTTCATATTTACAATTTACCTCAACTTTTTAAATTTAGCATTGTTTATTACCATTTGTCTTTTGACTTCAACTCTAGGAGTCTGTGTGTCTTCATTAAGATATAATTTAATTTTGGATGTAACGCGTCTTCTGATTGGCTGACGTTGTTTTGTTTATCAGCTCATAGACATAATTTTGTCATGTGACCGTGACGTCATCAACGTTTTTTCATGGTTTACTTCGGTTTAAAATGGAATTTAGAATTAAATTATAAGAAATGACTGTAATATTTTTTCTGTCTATTCGAAATAACATAAAAAATATGGTACACACTTCAAAATAACCCACTACGTGGGTTATTTAGAGTGCACCACATTTTTGATGTTATTTCTTCATAGACAGAAAAAATATTACAGTCATTCCTTAAATATCACAAAAAAAATAACCATAATTTCAACAAAATTTACCTGAATGTTTGAAAGATGACGATGTAGAGCACACAGTAATATTGGATACTGTTTACACAGATGGTGGTGAAGCAATCGAAGACACCTGACATGATTTCCTAACATGTATTCAATACTGGTTCTATAACATAAGCTAATAAAGGATGATGTTCTGTAAAAAATAAAATCATTAAGTTATCTCCCCTTTAACTTTTCAATGAATTTATCTTTTTAAAAACACTGTTGTAAACATACATAAAACAATTTCCTGCATTAAGGTGGTATCTAACACTACAGGGAGATAACTCTGTAAAATTAGCTAAACGTTTTAATTACGTTGCATTGTTAAGGAAATATTTAGCTTCTCAATGATTAAAATTAGTGTTTGTCAAACTGCTATATATCCAATGGAATTTTTCCGAGAAAGTGATTGGTTCAAGTTTTTTGAAATTTTTATATTTTTTTCAAAGGGTCAAAGTAAATATTTTGTAAAAATTTTATGAAAATCAAACGAGCCAAATTGATTTTAGTCAAGGTGTTGGGTACCACCTTAATATTTATTTTCTGCGCTTCAATGTACCTTTTGGCGATCCTCTGCAATAAACTATAAGGGGGAGCATTGAGATCTAAAAAAACAAGTAAGACCATGCAACATCTTTTGCTTCATGGGGTTGTTGTTTCATTGCTTTATATCTCAAATTTCCTTTAATGCATTTTTAAAATAAGTAAAATTCAGAAATCAGAACTAAATTTGTTCTTGGAACTAGTATTATGCATTTATGTATAAATATAAAAAAGATAGTTCTCTCACAAAAAAAAAAAAACTAATTGTAAAATATGTGCCTTTTTTTCACAGATATACTATAAATTCAGAAATTATTGCAAGGTTTTTATTATTGCAAAAAATGCGACAGAGCTGTAAACTCAATAATTAAGACTCGCATTTTGAAATATTTTATAGGAATTAAACAGGATTTGTCTCAAAATCGTCAAAATTAAAATCGCATTTAAGTCTAAAATGACAAAATGTCAATAATAAATGCTCGCAATAATTTCTGAATTTACAGTAATTAAATATTAATTACAATAGTTGATACTTTGACTAGTTTTTATATCGGTCTTACCGTAAATCTTTACTTAAATCATAAAAGTGCATCAAAGCATCGGTCTGACCCAGATTATACAATAAATAAACACTTTCAAACTCCTGTCTGTTGTCATGGTTACCAGGTACAACTGAGTATACATATAATAGTCTCTTTAAGCATTCTTGTGTATGCTGGTTGTTAATCTTGGGATCGAATCTTGCTATTGGTTCAGTACATAATCTGTAAATAAAATGACAAGATTATGATGGCCATTTTTTTCCAGTCATATGAACATAATTAGTCTGGGAGAACACGAATAATCGATCAGTTGTAATTGGCTTTGAACTAACTTTCAGCAACTGGAAGTGCTCTTATATCAGTCAGTGCTTTGTGTCAATTGTTTTTTTTGTGTGTCGTACTGTATTGAGTTAGGCCATTTGCAACTGATTTTTACAGTTTGTTTTTATTTGCGCTGTCAAACCACTGTCCCAGGTTAGGGAAAGGTGGAAAGATCACAAATATGTTTAACTCCACCAAATTCTTTATGTGCCTGTCCCAAGTCAAGATCCCGCAAATTGTAATTCAGTTGTTGTAGTTGGTTCATACCTGTCATACTTGTTTTTTTTTATTGTATTATATAAATTTTGTCATAAAATTTCTTGTTTGATTCAAATTATTCCACATTTTTCATGTTGGCACCTTTTATAGCTGACTATACGGTAAGGGCTTTTCTCATTGTTGAAGACCATACAGTGACCTATAATTGCTTATATCCAAGTCTTTTGATCTCTGGTGAATAGTTGTATCATTGGCAATCATACCCCATCTTCTTATTTTTATATTAACATATATAAAATACTCGAGTGGGGGGGGGGGGGGGGGGGGTCCCCCACAACTAATATACTTTCTTTGTGTAATTTTGTATGTAACATGTCTTCTGATTGGCTGTTTTTTGTCTATCAGCTCATAGACATAATTTTTGTCATATGATGGTGACGTCGTCTACATTTTTTCATGGTTTACTCCTTAAAAATGGAATTAAGAATTAAATTATAAGGAATGACTGTAATGTTTTTTCTGTCTATTTGAAATAACCTCAAAAATGTGGTGTACACTTTTAAATAACCTGATACTCATGTTTGATGTTATTTCTTCAAAGACAGAAAAAATATTACAGTCATTTCCTTAATTAAACCTTAAATGACCTACGACTCCCATCCAAAAATGAAACATCCCTTCCTACCCTTCCACATCCATCTTAATGAGTTGCTGTCTCATATGATACTGTAAGTTCAGATATATTTACATGCATTTATTACGGTAATGGCAATTGTTGGAACAATAAACAAAAATGCAAGAGCAATTATTGTGATTTAAGGATATAGTTTATATAGTTAATGCTATTAAAATTAGAAATGCTAGTTTATATGTTTGTGAAATCTATTCCATCACAATTTTTGTAATAAAATAAAATAAAATGCTCCGCAGGGCGCAGCTTGATACGACCGCAGAGGTCGAACCCTGAACAGTTGGGGCAAGTATGGACACAACATTCAAGCTTGATACAGCTTTGCATTTCGATTGTGATTAAATATTTGACACAGCATAGGTTTCTGACAAAGAATGAATGTGGTCTAAGAACTTAAAAATTTTAAATTGGACATTCACCTATTATGGTCCAATATCCAAAATCTAAAAACATGGTTAGATTCAGCATATCAAAGAACCCCAAGAATTCAATTTTTGATGAAATCAAACAAAGTTTAATTTTGGACCCTTTTGACCTCAATGTGGACAAAGTTGATAACGGGGCCCAAAAATTAAGAATCTAAATACACGGTTAGATTCGGCATATCAAAGAACCCCAATAATTCAATTTTTGATGAAATCAAACAAAGTTTAATTTTGGACCCTTTGGACCTCAATGTGGACCAATTTAAAAACGGGGCCCAAAATCCAAAAACTAAATACACGGTTAGATTCAGCATATTAAAGAACCCCAAGAATTCAAGAATAAAACCCCATTGAAATTGGTCAAGAAATAAGCAATTTATACGAAGTATCTTCTTTTGCACAATACTGTGCAATTAAATATTTCTTGCTATTGCGCAATACTGTACAATTGACAATTTCTTGCTATTGCGCAATATTGTGCTATTGAAAATTTCTTGCTATTGCGCAATACTGTGCAATTGAATATTTCTTGCTATTGTGCAATACTGTGCAATTGAAAATTTCTTGCTATTGCACAATACTTATTATATTATAATTTACACATCCTGTTTGGTGTGTATCTCCTACCATATCATTATTATTTGCTTTTAAATATAAATCAGAAATAACCAACTTAAAATGGAAAATTTTAAAAGAAAAAAACTAGAGGCTCTAAAGAGCCTGTGTCGCTCACCTTGGTCTATGTGCATATTAAACAAAGGACACAGATGGATTCATGACAAAATTGTGTTTTGGTAATGGTGATGTGTTTGTAGATCTTACTTTACTAAACATTCTTGCTGCTTACAATTATCTCTATCTATAATGAACTTGGCCCAGTAGTTACAGTGGAAAATATTTTGTAAAAATTTACAAAAATTTACAAAATTTATGAAAATTGTAAAAAAATTGACTACAAAGGGCAATAACTCCTTAAGGGATCAATTGACAATTTTAGTCATGTTGACTTATTTGTAGATCTTACTTTGCTGTACATTATTGCTGTTTACAGTTTATCTCTATCTATAATAATATTCAAGATAATAACCAAAAGCTGCAAAATTTTCTTAAAATTACCAATTCAGGGGCAGCAACCCAACAACGGGTTGCCTGATTGGTCTGAAAATTTCAGGGCAGATAGATCTTGACCTAATGAACAATTTTATCCTCATCAGATTTGCTCTAAATGCTTTGGTTTCAGAGATATGAGCCAAAAACTGCATTTTACCCTATGTACTATATTTTATCCATGTCGGCCATCTTGGTTTGCGGGCGGGGTCATCGGACACATTTTTTAAACTAGATACCCTTATGATGATTGTGGACAAGTTTGGTTAAATTTGTCTTAGTAGTTTCAGAGGAGAAGATTTTTGTAAAAGATTACAAAAATTTACAAAAAATGGTTAAAAATTGACTATAAAGGGCAATAACTCCTTAAGGGGTCAACTGACCATTTTGGTCATATAGACTTATTTGTAGATCTTACTTTGCTGAACATTATTGCTGTTTACAGTTTATCTCTAACTATTATAATATTCAAGATAATAACCAAAAACTGCAAAATTTCCTTAAAATTACCAATTCAGGGGCAGCAACCCAACAACCGGTTGTCAGATTCATCTGAAAATTTCAGGGCAGATAGATCTTGACCTGACTAACAATTTTACCCCAGGTCAGATTTGCTCTAAATGCTTTGGTTTCAGAGATATAAGCCAAAATCTACATTTTACCCCTATGTTCTATTTTTAGCCATGGCGGCCATCTTGGTTGGTTAGCGGGGTCACCGGACACATTTTTTAAACTAGATACCCCAATGATGATTGTGGCTAAGTTTGGTTTAATTTGGCCCAGTAGTTTCAGAGGAGAAGATTTTTGTAAAAGTTTACGGACGACGGACGACGGACGCAAAGTGATGAGAAAAGCTCACTTGACCTTTCAGGTCAGGTGAGCTAAAAAGGAAAAAAAGAAAAATAAGGAAAAAAAAAAAAATCACCCCCCAAATTTTTTGAACCCCTTATGATTCATCACCCCCAAACTCAAATCCAGCCTTCCCTTTGTGGTATGGTACCTTGCAGTACAATTTCAGAGAGATCCATACACTTGAACACAAGTTATTGTCTGGAAACTAGAAAAATGTGTTTTTTGGCCCCAAATTCCTAAACGTGTAGGGCAATTACCCCCAAACTCAAACCCAGCTTTCCCTTTGTGATATGGAACCTTGTAGTACAATTTCAGAAAGATCCATACACTTACACACAAGTTATTGTCCTGAAACTAGAAAAATGCTTGTTTTTTGCTCCTTTTTGGCCCCTAATTCCTAAAATATTGAGGCAATTACCCCCATCATCAATCCCAGCCTTACCTTTGTGGTATGGTACCTTGCAGTACAATTTCAGAGAGATCCATACACTTGAACACAAGTTATTGTCTGGAAACTAGAAAAATGCTTATTTTTGGCCCCTTTTTGGCCCCCAATTCCTAAATGTTTCGGCAATTACCCCCAAACTCAATTCCAGCTTTCCCTTTGTGAAATGGAACCTTATAGTACAATTTCAGAAAGATCCATACACTTACACACAAGTTATTGTCATGAAACTAGAAAAATGCTTGTTTTTTGCCCCTTTTTGGGCCCCTAATTCCTAAAATTTTGAGGCAATTACCCCCAAAATCAATCCCAGCATTCCTTTTGTGATATGGAACCTTGTGGTACAATGTCAGAGAGATCTATACACTAACACACAAGTTATGTCTGGAAGTTACAAAAATGCTTATTTTTGGCCCCTTTTTGGCCCCTAATTCCTTTACTGTTGGTACCATAACCCCCAAAATCAATCCCAACCTTCCTTTTGTGGTATTGAACCTTGTGGTAAAATTTCACAGAGCTCCATTTACTTAAACTAAAGTTAGAGTGCGAAAACCAATGTGTCTTCGGACGACGCCGGACGACGACGACGACGCCGCCAACGTCATACCAATATACGACCACAAAAAATTTTTTGTGGTCGTATAAAAAACAGCGTAAATTTATTTATTTTAAAGTAGTACTTTTATAGATCCTTATCTATTTTTTAATTATTGATTTATTTTGTTGTATAATATAAAAGTTTAGTTTTTATTATCATAAATTATTATTTTCTGTTAGAAGTTGAAAAAGGCTGCATTTCTAGTTCCTAGGCAATTGTATCAACAAATTTGACAACATAAATTGTACTTTGAGTGATATCACCATCTTCTTTTATTTTGCTATTAAGGAGCCTATCCAGGAACTCAAACCACCTGAGGTTTCAACCTCAAACTAGAGGCTCTAAAGAGCCTGTGTCGCTCACCTTGGTCTATGTGCATATTAAACAAAGGACACAGATGGATTCATGACAAAATTGTGATTTGGTGATGGTGATGTGTTTGTAGATCTTACTTTACTGAACATTCTTGCTCCTTACTATTATCTCTATCTATAATGAACTTGGCCCGGTAGTTACAGTGGAAAATACTTTGTAAAAATTTACAAAAATTTACAAAATTTATGAAAATTGTAAAAAATTGACTATAAAGGGCAATAACTCCTTAAGGGGTCAATTGACAATTTTGGTCATGTTGCCTTATTTGTAGATCTAACTTTGCTGTACATTATTGCTGTTAACAGTTTATCTCTATCTATAACAATATTCAAGATAATAACCAAAAGCTGCAAAATTTTCTTAAAATTACCAATTCAGGGGCAGCAACCCAACAACTGGTTGCCTGATTGGTCTGAAAATTTCAGGGCAGATAGATCTTGACCTAATGAACAATTTTATCCTCATCAGATTTGCTCTAAATGCTTTGGTTTCAGAGATATGAGCCAAAAACTGCATTTTACCCTATGTACTATTTTTTAGCCATGTCGGCCATCTTGGTTCGCGGGCGGGGTCATCGGACACATTTTTTAAACTAGATACCCTAATGATGATTGTGGACAAGTTTGGTTAAACTTGTCTTAGTAGTTTCAGAGGAGAAGATTTTTGTAAAAAATTACAAAAAATTACGAAAAATGGTTAAAAATTGACTATAAAGGGCAATAACTCCTTAAGGGGTCAACTGACCATTTTGGTCATGTTGACTTATTTGTAGATCTTACTTTGCTGAACATTATTGCTGTTTACAGTTTATCTCTATCTATAATAATGTTCAAGATAATAACCAAAAACTGCAAAATTTCCTTAAAATTACCAATTCAGGGGCAGCAACCCAACAACGGGTTGCCTGATTGGTCTGAAAATTTCAGGGCAGATAGATCTTGACCTAATGAACAATTTTATCCTCATCAGATTTGCTCTAAATGCTTTGGTTTCAGAGATATGAGCCAAAAATTGCATTTTACCCTATGTACTATTTTTTAGCCATGTCGGCCATCTTGGTTCGCGGGCGGGGTCATCGGACACATTTTTTAAACTAGATACCCTAATGATGATTGTGGACAAGTTTGGTTAAATTTGTCTTAGTAGTTTCAGAGAAGATTTTTGTAAAAGATTACAAAAATTTACGAAAAATGGTTAAAAATTGACTATAAAGGGCAATAACTCCTTAAGGGGTCAAATGACCATTTTGGTCAAGTTGACTTATTTGTAGATCTTACTTTGCTGAACATTATTGCTGTTTACAGTTTATCTCTATCTATAATAATGTTCAAGATAATAACCAAACACGGCAAAATTTCCTTAAAATTACCAATTCAGGGGCAGCAACCCAACAACGGGTTGTCCGATTCTTCTGAAAATTTCAGGGCAGATAGATCTTGACCTGATAAACAATTTTACCCCAAGTCAGATTTGCTCTAAATGCTTTGGTTTCAGAGATATAAGCCAAAATCTACATTTTACCCCTATGTTCTATTTTTAGCCATGGCGGCCATCTTGGTTGGTTAGCGGGGTCACCGGACACATTTTTTAAACTAGATACCCCAATGATGATTGTGGCTAAGTTTGGTTTAATTTGGCCCAGTAGTTTCAGAGGAGAAGATTTTTGTAAAAGTTTACGGACGACGGACGACGGACGCAAAGTGATGAGAAAAGCTCACTTGACCTTTCAGGTCAGGTGAGCTAAAAAGGAAAAAAAGAAAAATAAGGAAAAAAAAAAAAATCACCCCCCAAATTTTTTGAACCCCTTATGATTCATCACCCCCAAACTCAAATCCAGCCTTCCCTTTGTGGTATGGTACCTTGCAGTACAATTTCAGAGAGATCCATACACTTGAACACAAGTTATTGTCTGGAAACTAGAAAAATGTGTTTTTTGGCCCCAAATTCCTAAACGTGTAGGGCAATTACCCCCAAACTCAAACCCAGCTTTCCCTTTGTGATATGGAACCTTGTAGTACAATTTCAGAAAGATCCATACACTTACACACAAGTTATTGTCCTGAAACTAGAAAAATGCTTGTTTTTTGCCCCTTTTTGGCCCCTAATTCCTAAAATATTGAGGCAATTACCCCCATCATCAATCCCAGCCTTACCTTTGTGGTATGGTACCTTGCAGTACAATTTCAGAGAGATCCATACACTTGAACACAAGTTATTGTCTGGAAACTAGAAAAATGCTTATTTTTGGCCCCTTTTTGGCCCCCAATTCCTAAATGTTTCGGCAATTACCCCCAAACTCAATTCCAGCTTTCCCTTTGTGAAATGGAACCTTATAGTACAATTTCAGAAAGATCCATACACTTACACACAAGTTATTGTCATGAAACTAGAAAAATGCTTGTTTTTTGCCCCTTTTTGGGCCCCTAATTCCTAAAATTTTGAGGCAATTACCCCCAAAATCAATCCCAGCATTCCTTTTGTGATATGGAACCTTGTGGTACAATGTCAGAGAGATCTATACACTAACACACAAGTTATGTCTGGAAGTTACAAAAATGCTTATTTTTGGCCCCTTTTTGGCCCCTAATTCCTTTACTGTTGGTACCATAACCCCCAAAATCAATCCCAACCTTCCTTTTGTGGTATTGAACCTTGTGGTAAAATTTCACAGAGATCCATTTACTTAAACTAAAGTTAGAGTGCGAAAACCAATGTGTCTTCGGACGACGCCGGACGACGACGACGACGCCGCCAACGTCATACCAATATACGACCACAAAAAATTTTTTGTGGTCGTATAAAAAACAGCGTAAATTTATTTATTTTAAAGTAGTACTTTTATAGATCCTTATCTATTTTTTAATTATTGATTTATTTTGTTGTATAATATAAAAGTTTAGTTTTTATTATCATAAATTATTATTTTCTGTTAGAAGTTGAAAAAGGCTGCATTTCTAGTTCCTAGGCAATTGTATCAACAAATTTGACAACATAAATTGTACTTTGAGTGATATCACCATCTTCTTTTATTTTGCTATTAAGGAGCCTATCCAGGAACTCAAACCACCTGAGGTTTCAACCTCAAACTAGAGGCTCTAAAGAGCCTGTGTCGCTCACCTTGGTCTATGTGCATATTAAACAAAGGACACAGATGGATTCATGACAAAATTGTGATTTGGTGATGGTGATGTGTTTGTAGATCTTACTTTACTGAACATTCTTGCTCCTTACTATTATCTCTATCTATAATGAACTTGGCCCGGTAGTTACAGTGGAAAATACTTTGTAAAAATTTACAAAAATTTACAAAATTTATGAAAATTGTAAAAAATTGACTATAAAGGGCAATAACTCCTTAAGGGGTCAATTGACAATTTTGGTCATGTTGCCTTATTTGTAGATCTAACTTTGCTGTACATTATTGCTGTTAACAGTTTATCTCTATCTATAACAATATTCAAGATAATAACCAAAAGCTGCAAAATTTTCTTAAAATTACCAATTCAGGGGCAGCAACCCAACAACTGGTTGCCTGATTGGTCTGAAAATTTCAGGGCAGATAGATCTTGACCTAATGAACAATTTTATCCTCATCAGATTTGCTCTAAATGCTTTGGTTTCAGAGATATGAGCCAAAAACTGCATTTTACCCTATGTACTATTTTTTAGCCATGTCGGCCATCTTGGTTCGCGGGCGGGGTCATCGGACACATTTTTTAAACTAGATACCCTAATGATGATTGTGGACAAGTTTGGTTAAACTTGTCTTAGTAGTTTCAGAGGAGAAGATTTTTGTAAAAAATTACAAAAAATTACGAAAAATGGTTAAAAATTGACTATAAAGGGCAATAACTCCTTAAGGGGTCAACTGACCATTTTGGTCATGTTGACTTATTTGTAGATCTTACTTTGCTGAACATTATTGCTGTTTACAGTTTATCTCTATCTATAATAATGTTCAAGATAATAACCAAAAACTGCAAAATTTCCTTAAAATTACCAATTCAGGGGCAGCAACCCAACAACGGGTTGCCTGATTGGTCTGAAAATTTCAGGGCAGATAGATCTTGACCTAATGAACAATTTTATCCTCATCAGATTTGCTCTAAATGCTTTGGTTTCAGAGATATGAGCCAAAAATTGCATTTTACCCTATGTACTATTTTTTAGCCATGTCGGCCATCTTGGTTCGCGGGCGGGGTCATCGGACACATTTTTTAAACTAGATACCCTAATGATGATTGTGGACAAGTTTGGTTAAATTTGTCTTAGTAGTTTCAGAGAAGATTTTTGTAAAAGATTACAAAAATTTACGAAAAATGGTTAAAAATTGACTATAAAGGGCAATAACTCCTTAAGGGGTCAAATGACCATTTTGGTCAAGTTGACTTATTTGTAGATCTTACTTTGCTGAACATTATTGCTGTTTACAGTTTATCTCTATCTATAATAATGTTCAAGATAATAACCAAACACGGCAAAATTTCCTTAAAATTACCAATTCAGGGGCAGCAACCCAACAACGGGTTGTCCGATTCTTCTGAAAATTTCAGGGCAGATAGATCTTGACCTGATAAACAATTTTACCCCAAGTCAGATTTGCTCTAAATGCTTTGGTTTCAGAGATATAAGCCAAAATCTACATTTTACCCCTATGTTCTATTTTTAGCCATGGCGGCCATCTTGGTTGGTTGGCCGGGTCATCGGACACATTTTTTAAACTAGATACCCCAATGATGATTGTGGCCAAGTTTGGTCAAATTTGGCCCAGTAGTTTCAGAGAAGATTTTTGTAAAAGTTTACGGACGACGGACGACGGACGCCAAGTGATGAGAAAAGCTCACTTGACCTTTCAGGTCAGGTGAGCTAAAAATGAAATATTGTAAATTCAGAAATTATTGCGAGGTTTTTATTAATGCAAATAATGCTACTGGGTGAATATCGCAATAATAAGAACGCTTTCTGATATCTAATACATGTACCTGTATGCAGATTTTGCAATAATTAGTCTCGCATTTTTGTCCATTTTTCAAAAATCGCAATTATAAATGCACGCAATAATTTCTGAATTTTCACAATGCAAATCTTTTAAATGACTATACTTATACCTGTATCCAGCATAGATATGAAATCTTGCTATTTTCTCTAGAATGTTTATACCACTGCTGCCACCTATATTCTGTATCACCATGTCTTGTCGAACACATCGTAATCGGTCAAATACAAAATCATATATATCTTTCCAGTCAACATCTTTTCTTGCTGTTATACTAAAAATAAAAAAAAAAAAACATTGATTTACTTTTTTGTCAGTTTTTACACACCTTCTGAATGGAAAATTATGATAATCATTTATTTGTTTTCATAGTGATTAAGATTATAACACAATGTTGACTGCTGTAACCCGACTTTTGACATTTTTACCTACTATGTCTGTTTGTTTTGTTCACACGTTGTTGTCAATATAATGGAATTTTATACGACTGTCATACAAGTGAAAGGTTTAGCTAGCTATAAAACCAGGTTTTATCCACAATTTTCTACATAAGAAAATGCCTGTACCAAGTCAGGAATATGACAGTTGTTATCCATTTGTTTGATGTGTTTGAGCTTTTGATTTTGCCATTTGATAAGGCACTTTCTGTGTTCAATTTTCCTCGTAGTTTGGTATTTTAGTTATTTCAATTTTTACACTAAAATTGTTTAAAAAAAATTGTAATACCGCTTAATGGCTGTCAGAAAGAAAATGTATGTATAATTTTCAGTACTAAAATATTACATTTTGCTTTTATCAGATATTCAAGTTTATTATTACGTTGTAGATTTCAAATATCCTCAAACATCATTGAAGAGACATTAACTGTTGAAATGCACATCTTGTGAAATAAAATTATTAAGTTTTTAATATTTCTATCCACTGTCTTCATAATTCATAGAAATCAATATTGCTTAGATGCTGACCGCAATGAGGACAACTAGTGGCACCTCTCTTGTGGCTCATGTAAGTCATATCTGGTGATAAGTATTATTCGGTAGGTCACATTCACGGAAAAGAGGATGGAATCGGCCGTTTCAGAATCTAAAGGACTCTGGGTAATTTCATTGTTCGTACCCAAAATGAAAATAACGTTACGTCATTGGGTAAATTTCCATTGTTTATGACTTTTTTAACCAATCTAAACGTTTTGATGTACACTTTTGAAAATATTACCCAGAATGCATTAGATTCTGAAACGGCAAATTGTGGCTATGTCAAATAGAACATATCAGTTGTCATCTGTGAAACAGATATTCCATAACAGTCAACCAACTTGTGATGGCGTTCGAAAAATTTTTGATGGGAAATAGCCATTGGCTATGACCACAATATATAAATATAGATTCTACCACTGCATCGAGTGTGATACGATATTTATCCACTCAAGACAGTTAAATTTTAAATATTTAAAATTTAACTGTCGAGAGTAGATAAATATCGTATTACATGAGATTTGGTGGTGGAATCTGTTTCTCTAAAGATTTTCAAACAATATGCAGGCAAACTTATTCCTTCTTTTCGAATGATCTGCAAAAAGATGTGTTCTTTCTATGTGACGTCATCAAGCATGGTCGCCTTTTTTCATGCCGTCACAATAGGAAATTCAGAGGAAAGCAAGAGAATTCAATGTCATAAACAGATTTAAACCAATGAAGAACTGAGATCAAACGAACCACACGTTGATTAAATTTTTTTTTTCATGGGTGCAGAAAGTGATAAAGTGACGAAGAATTAGAGAAATCTCAATACAATGTATATATATATATATATATATATGTAGTACCTACTACCCAATGAATCATTCACTCCAAGAATATATTCTGTAGCATGTAGTAATGTATCTGCTTACCCTACAGGATCACCTGAGATCACCCCTGGTTATTGGTGAGTTTTGTGTTGCTCAGTCTTTAGTTTTCTATGTTGTGTTTAGTGTACTGTTGTTTTTTCGTTTTTTTGCCATGGCATTGTCAGTTTGTCTTCGACTTATTAGTTTGAATATACCTTTGGTATCTTTCACCTCTCTTTTATCTATGTATGAAATCCTTGCCTAGGGCTTTTGGACTACTACAAATTTCACTCAATGTAACAGTCACAGTGTAGTTGTCAGTTGAAACTGTACTGCAAGATAGTGTATAATATCTGTGTATAAGTGTATAATATCTGTGTATAAGTGTATAATATCTGTGAATAAGTGTATAATGTCTGTGTATAAGTGTATAATGTCTGTGTATAAGTGTATAATATCTGTGTATAAGTGTATAATATCTGTGTATAAGTGTATAATATCTGTGTATAAGTGTATAAGATAGTGTATAAGTGTATAATATTTGTGTATAAGTGTATAAGATAGTGTATAAGTGTATAATATCTGTGTATAAGTGTATAATACCTGTGTATAAGTGTATAATATCTGTGTATAAGTGTATAAGATAGTGTAAAATGTCTGCAATTTATTTTACTAACCTACCAAGAAGATAATCAACAGTTCTGACTAAAACATCCGGAGGTCGCAGGTCATCTGGTCCAGGGTCACGTTTGCCTGCTGCTGGCCTACTGTATTCTTTAACCATTTTGTCTGTATCAGTCTGAAGCCTGAATGTAAAGTAAAGTCAAGTAAAAAATCACTCTTGCTTGTGTTGAGTGATCCTCTGTGAAACAAGTTGATTTGTGGTGTTGAGTGAAACACTGTTTCAACAGTAATTTATCATACCAAAACTATCAAAGTGGTTTCTTTTTTTTTTCATCTTGTAGATAAAAATAAGTATGGTGAGTTGTATCTGATTTAATTATGATAAATTGACTATTTCTTTATCACGTTTATAGTGTATCAAAAAGATTACAATGCATAGAAGGAGATCCTAAAATATACCCTGTCCACACATCTATAGTCTTGCTCCTTTTGATTGATTGATTGATTGGTGTTTAACACCACCTTCAACACTAATGTGTTATTTCCAGGATTTCGTCACGGTCAGTTTTTATAGGTGGAGGAAGTCAGAGTGCCTGGAGAGAACCACCGACCTTCGGTAGGAAAACTGACAATCATAGTCAATCAAAATTGGAGTTGAGTGCACCTGCCCCTTGCGGGATTCAAACTCACAACCTCAGTGTTGATAGGCTTATGATACAGTAGTTCGACCACTTAAACCACTCGACCACTGAGACCCTTTACTCCTTTTGAAGTTCATTTCATTCCACCAGGTTTTATTTTGTATCTTCTTAATGGATTGACCAGAACATCTGTAAACTGCTGTTGTCTCTAACATTTGTCTAATTAATAGATCTTTATGAAAGTATGTTGCAATAAAAATTCAAATCTACAAAAAAACAGATTTTTAGAAGAAAAAAACCCAACATGTGTTCTTTTTGTGTTACACTTGTTACAAACCTTCCATTTTGTAAAGTCTTTTCCAGGAAATGTACTAATCTTTCTCTAGTTCTTCTGAAAAATAAAGAATTTATATCAGTTACCAAGGTAATATAAAATGTTTCAATTATGTATAGAACTGTAAGTTCAGAAATTATAGAGAGGTTTTTATTAATGCAAATAATGCCCTGGATAAGTATCTCAATAATAAGAACTTGCATTCTGATATATGATACATATATCTGTATTCAGCATGTTAAAGATTTTCCTGAAATCACAATAATTAATCTCCCATTTCTGCATATTCTCGCAATAATTTCTAATTTAATTAGACTATTTACCGGATTTGTAATAACATAAGCAACACGACGGGTGCCACATGTAGAGCAGGATCTGCTTACCCTTCTGTATTTTTGGCCATGGCGTTGTCAGTTTGTTTTTGATCTATGAGTTTGACTGTCCCTCTGGTATCTTTCGTCCCTCTTTTAAAAGTATTGTAGAATACCATTGTTTACAGAAATATTTGAATTGCTTTCCACAAATGTTCCAAAAGAAATAGTGATGGGGATGACATGCTATTGTTGACTTACTGATCAGTTCAACCCCACATGCAGCCAGTTTTGCTCTAATTGCTTTAGTTTTTGAGATATTAGCAAACAACCTGTGTTTTACCAGGTTTGGTTGAAAATGGTTCAGTAGTGTCAGAGGAGAAGATCTTTCAAAAAGTTTACAACGACAGACATAAGGTACTGGCAATACATGTAGCTCACATGGCTCTTCAGTTAAATATTTGTGTACCAGTAAACATGATGTCAGAAATAATTGAGGCTTACTTAGCTACATATAAATAAGAAGATGTGGTATGAGTGCCAATGAGACAACTCACCATACTCGATTTGGCTGATAATTGCAGGTCAGGTAGACCTTGACCTAATGAATACTTTAACTCCTTGTCTGATTTGCTCTAAACATGTTAAATGCTTTAGTTTTTGAGATATAAGTCAAAAACTGCATTTTACCCTATGTTCTATTTTTAGCCATGCATGGCGGCCATGTTTTCTGAGGAAACAGAAAATAAAACCCAAACTTTATTCTAGATAACCTAAGAATCATTCAGCTTAAGTTTGGTTTAATTTGGTTCAGTAGTTTCAGAGGAAAAGATTTTTTAAAGTTAGAAAACATGATAAACATAAACAAATTGTGTAAAATTGTCTTTAAAGGGCAATAACTCCTTAAGGGTTTGTAATGGGAGTGTGTTTTCCTTCAGACTTTGTTGTCTTCCCGTTGTATACCCAAGTTCTTGGATATTTGACAAACTACGTACATTTATAAACAAGATGTTTATTTTTAAGGCATATATGGTTGAATACAAGAAATGTACAGTAAATATACAAATACGGTGGCACCTAGTCTACTTGTTATTGTAACGGTTCCTAAAGTGCGAGCCAAAGGATGTGCGTCTGCTCATTTCAAATCCTAAGTTGTAGACTGCCCTGAACCCGGTGAGTGACGTCATACTTATAGTTCCTAGATACAACTAGCCAGGCCGGGATATCAGGCACGTGCAAGAAGCAGGAAGTCCAGCAAGAATAATTATATGGCCGGTCTCGGGAGAAAGAGTTACAGAAATATAAATGATACTAACATTAACCAATTTCCCCCAAATAAATAGATTAACAAGTAAACAAAGTGACCACCATTACAGGGTCAATTGACAATTTTGGTCCCACATGTATAAATTTATTTGTAGATCTTACTTCATGTACTTTGATGAACATTTTTGCTGTTTTACAGTTTATCTTTATCTATAATAATATTCAAGATAACCAATACTGCAAAATTTCCATAAAATTACCAATTTAGTGGCAGCAACCCAACAATGGATTGTTAGATTCATCTGAAAATTTCAGGGCTGATAGAGCTTGACCTAATGAACATTTTTAGCCCCCTGTCAGATGTGCTCTAAATGCTTTAGTTTTTGAGTTATGACAAAAACTGCATTTTACCCCTATGTTCTATTTTTTAGCCATGGCGGCCATGTTTTTTCACGAAACAGAAATTAAACACAAACCTTTGGAAAGGTGAGCTAAAATTTAGGGTGAATTGACCCTGGGCGAACAGGTATTAGAGCGAAAGTGAATCAAGGCGAACGGACACGGATTTGAACAGAAGAACCTGTAATATCTAGACATCAAAAGGAAAAGTGATTATTGTATGACATCAATAGTTCAAGTGTTGCAAACTACAGTCGAACCTCGTTGTGTGGAACTCGGTTGTGTCGAAAACTCGGATGAGTCGAAGTTATTTCTCGGTCCCGGGAAAATTCCCGTTTGATCAATGCATAATTACCTCTGATGAGTCGAACTCGGTTGATTCGATACTCGGTTAAGTCGAGTAAATTTTATAGTCCCGTCGAAGTAAAGTTAATGTAAATTGACCCCGATGTCTCGAAGTTCGAAAGTAAGAATTTTCGAAAGATGCAGACCTAATGATAAAAATTCAAATCGGATGTATTTCTTATGTCACCTAATCATTTTCACAAGAGATTAAAGCTGAGTAAACATACTTGTTTGTATAACAGTTAAAATGACATGTTTATGAAGACCGCTAATTAACACCTTTGTTGATCGTTCAAGCGGAAAGTGTGTTGAACATTTTTCACCTGAGATAAAAACGAAACGAATTTAAATGACCCAAGCTGAGATTAAATGAAACGTTAGATTTAAAACTCATTAATTACAATAAATAAAAGGATTAGGACAATTATAATAAATTCATGATAATTTAATGTTAAGCAGACGACCTCATCAGAGAGCGTTCAGAACTTATTTCGTGCCGCGAGGGATTTCATAATTTATAGTGACTAACCTTTGTAAATATTTGTGTAGACTATTGATTTTATTTGTGCATGATTTGTATCTGTACTTGTGTGTTTAATTATTACGAAGGATCAAAAATGGAGATTGAATACACAATCATAAAGTGTCATATCGAAAAAAAGGCACACTAGTACTGTTCATTGTATCTAGTTTACACAAATCTCATACCGTATTTCATGCATTCCAAATTTATGACGACACACTCGACCTCGGATGAGTCGAATACTTTGATCTAGTCCCTTCGACTTCGACACAACGAGGTTCGACTATACATGTATCAGGTCAAATGTAGCAGATTCCCAAAAAGCGATAATGTCTATCATTAGTCCAAGTAATTATGCTGTCTAGAAAGGCTATTTTTTATTTTTGCTGTTACGAAGGCGTCTAAAAATAAATTATCAAAAAGCTGTATAAAACGTCATAATTATCAGTCAGGGGTACTACTTAAACAAGTGATTTCAGAATCACTTCTTCAAGTGATTATGGCTGTGAAATATTAAAAATTTTCACAATAATAGACACGTTCCGTCCCCAAACCGATCCGGCCCCAAGTCGATCCGGCCCAAAGTCGATCCGTCCCAAGTCGATCCGGCCCACGTCGATCCGGCCCAAAGTCGATCCGGCCCCATAATAAAATATGAATAAACTATATTGACTTTGGAGGATTTTTAACATTATAAATTGATTTTGCAAAAAGTATCGATGATGGATGACAACAGGTAAGTGAAGTATTGGTGTACCAGTCAAAGAATTATTTTAAATCGATACGAAACTGAGTGTGATTGTGTCTGTTTGTATACATGGTATAGCAGCTTCAACATATTAATATGAAGTTATTTTCCATGATAACTTTGAATGTCATGGCGATTTTTATTTTATTTAATTCACACACAGAATAGCTAAATACATATTTACAGTCCAATGGAACCTATAAAATTTAACTCATCATATAATGACTTGTTTAATCAAATCATTAATCTATAATTGGTTTGTTTATTCAACAATTGTCTGATGATTGTGAACTGAGGTAATGCCACTCGTAATCACTTAATTCAATCAAATCCTGGTTACGTAATCAGCAAGGTCTTTATAGTTTGATCTTTTTTTTGGTGTTATGTGTTATAATAATTAATTGTATTTTTTTTTTCAGGTAACATCAGAGGCACATGTTGTTTTTTTGTAATATCGAATATAGTTAATATATTTTTTTAAAGTTGACAATATTTTGAATAGTTCTGTGTAGATAAAAAAAAACAAGTTATATGAGTATCCATTATTCTTTATTGCAAGATAATAACAAAATAATTACACTGAATGCACATGTTCACTCTCTAAAAATATAATATCAGCACTACTATAATATAACAATAAATTCATACACACTAACAAACACACTATCTCTGACACTCACATAAATATATATAACTTTTAAATCATTTACACTAACAGTTACACTGTCGCTTACATAATATAAAAGAGGTCACACTTGCAGCACTACAATAACATATACAGTTACTATCATACGCAGTACAGCACTATAATGGTTCAATTTGATTAGCTCACCAAGAACAAACTATATTATTCTAAACATAAAGAATACTCATTAAGCATTTAATAAATAAATGTTATATAAACATACAGATTGTAGCCACATATGAACTAACATTTTACAAGCCATACAGTTCACTCAGTGTTAATTAAATCAGTCGCTGTCAGTGTCTTCTTCTGGTTCTGGGTCTGGCACAGGAATGTCATACATGTGTCCGACGGCACGAAGGAAGAAGGAGGTGGTGATGGTACAGTCTTGAAGTTGCTGCCATAGTGAAGAGAGGCGTCCCTGTGACTGTTGATACTTGGTGCGCTGCCAACGGGCAAGACTCTGTTCATCTACCAGACGCACTTGTCTAGAAACAGTCTTGGCTTCTTTGATGAGCGCTGGAACCATCTTGTAGAAGTGGAGCTTGTTTCCATTTGCTTTCCCGTTGAACCTACGATGCCAACCTGTTAAAAATTAAAAGCAAATGTTGAGTACATATTACAGAAAAGAATCAATATAGCAGATGACAATATTTAATAACAGTTTCATATCATTTATTTTATTGTAGTATTTATCAGACTGTAAGAAGTTCAATAATTGCTTACTTCCATGCTCTTCATTTAATTCGGTTGAATATTTGTCTCATCGGCAAAAATACC